AAACCCACCTGCTCAAGCATCAGCTTTCATGGACACCGGCGTTTTCTGGCTCGTCTTAGAGCCCTTAATCTACTACCTCTCTACTCGAACGAAAAACAAAAACAGCGACTCAAGAAATTCTCTTCTTTTTGGAAGGCTACTAATAAAAAAATATATAAACTCTGCTCTCCTCGAAAGAAGGATACCTGGAAGGAAGGGCTTATCGTCGAGTGGTGTTGAAGATGCAGACAGGCATAAGCTGGTGATCACGAGGAGTCCAAGGAGGAATCCCATCTTCCCTTTGTATTGCATGAAAGGTGCTTGTAGAGCTCTAGCTTCTCTGTAACCTCCCTGTGGAACTTCATCCTCTCTCTTTCTAGGTAGACCACCTAGCATATATTGTAGGGCTGTCTTAAAAGTGTTTAAAAAAAGTGTGAAGTTTTTTTATTTTATTTTAAATTGATATATTTTTATTAAAATGAAAAATATTAAAAAAGTAACTATTACTATATTTTTAAATACACACCGTTTGAAAATCTGAATTTTTTATGTTTTTAAATATTTTTTTTTTTAAATAAATTCAAAAAAAATTACCTCAATTATATTTATAAGCACCCTCAAAAACGAGGAGCGAGGAGACAAATGTGAAACCTTGCTTTATCTTTTTATCACCAAACCAAACCCAAGTGGGCATGGATTCCTAGGCATCGAATGTCTTCCACTCGAGTCTTTCAAACAGAGACTTGCCTTGTTCTCTCTCCATGGTATCTTTCCAGGCCACTAGATTGCGGTGGAGATGAGGTTTCTTCTTCTTCTTCTCCTCCTCCTCTTCTGTTGCTTTTGATGGGTACATGGTATTATCCTGGTTGTTTTAGCCATCAGATTTTGTGTACTTTTGGAAGTTCTGAGGCGCACGCAATTTCCACTTATTAAAGCCTTTTGTTTTCTTGGCACTGCTTTCTTTTTTAATAATTGATCCGTGCTTGGAGACTGGAAGAAGCAATGCAAGCACCTAGTGCTGCTGGGCCAACATTAGCTCAATGGGCCCGCCTATATCAATTATCCTTTATTAAACCAATATACTTTTGTATGTATTAATTATTGGTGATGATCGGATGAGCTTGAATATATAAAGGATTAAGATAATATAATCTAAAATATTTTAAGAAAAACAAGAAACAAATTTATCTATTAAACCTACATCAACTGTGTAAAGTAGTTCAAATATTGGATCTATTTAAATAAATATAAAATATTGATTCTTTCATCATAATTCCATCAACTCTTCTCTTTTTTTAATCAAATATTAAACAATATTGACATAAAAAATCATTTGTTTTGAATAACCCATATAAATGAGTTTTCAGGCCCAATACCCCTTGAGTCCAATCTGAATGAAGCCCACTGAGACTGCCTTCTACGTGTCCAACCTAGATCAAGAATGTACCGAAACAAGCAACCAAACACACCCTAAATCCAAAAACCCTAGCAACTCACACGTATAAATACTCCCTGCAAGCCGAATATCTTCGTTTCGCTAAGCCCTGGTTGCTCTTAATCTGTGACTTCATAACCCTAGAGATATAATCTCTGATCTATCAACATGGTAACAATGTCCAAACCACTATCCTTTAAATTTTCCAGGCTTCCAAACGGTTGTCTACAATGTTTTCATTCATTGATCTGTGGGTTTTTTTTTTATTGTAGGCCGTTTCATTCATTGATCTGTGGGTTTTTTTTCTTTTTTTTGTAGGCACCAAAGAAGGAGAAGGCTCCTCCTCCGTCTTCAAAGCCAGCAAAATCCGGGGGTGGCAAGCAGAAGAAGAAGGTACAACAAATCACAGGCTCCTCTTTTTTTTTGGTTATTTAGTGTGTTAAGCCTTGAATGATTTTCTTTTGTTGGTGTTATTGCATATGAGAAAAAAAGAGAAGACTTTGCTAGGGAATTTTGATACTGGTGATTCGGTGCTAATGGCATAGCTGGCGTAGTGTTTTTTCTTGTTCTGATTTGCTGGGGTTTTATGTGCAGAAATGGAGCAAGGGAAAGCAAAAGGAGAAGGTGAACAACATGGTTTTGTTTGATCAAGCTACATACGATAAGCTACTTTCTGAAGCTCCAAAGTATAAGCTTATCACTCCTTCTGTCTTGTCTGACAGATTGAGGGTATGTTCCTTCTGCCCGTCACCACTTTTCTCACATGCTGTTAGTCTTAATTGTTCACATTAGCCTTTATGCTCTGTGTTTTTAGTATAGGCATTTTTTTGATTGAGAATGAATCTTGTGTTGTTTTTGGAAATTGCATATTTAATTTGGATCCGCTGGCATTGAGCTTCTATTGTGCTGAGATAGATTGGTGCGTTTCACAAGAGGCACATCTTGCTCCAAAAAGCTTTTGATTTGATGTTTTCTTGTGTTTCGCGAAGGTTAGGTTAACATCAAAATGTGGATACCTATTAGGATACTATGAAGTTACATAATCTTTTGTTGAATTCCTTGTCTTCTGGCATACAAAACATCCTACAATTGAAGTTTTATTTTTACCTGCAACACTTTTCTTTGAAGGGAAATTTAAGAAGATTAGCCTGAGATTATTCATCAACGTCTCATTCTAATTCAATGTGATATCATAACCAGCCATTTCTGATCCATCATGTGTACCTTCATTTCAAAATGATCTAGATTCCTGCCTCTGAGCCAGGATGCTCTTCTTTCTTTATTTTTTGTCCTTCCACTAAATTATGATGATCTGGTGTCTTCTTGGTGCCTTGCATTTATTGCCACTAGGCACTGGTTATATTGACAGGTTTGTTTTATAACTGAATTTCAGATTAGTGGCTCTCTTGCACGCAAAGCTATCAAGGATTTAATGGCCAGAGGATCTATTAGAATGGTCTCTTCACATGCCAGCCAACAGATCTACACTAGGGCTACCAACACCTAAGAGACAGAATCTTAGCATTCTCCATGTTATAGAGAGGAAGCTAGTTCCATTTTTGTTTCTTTATCATTTCTCTCCACCAGTTATATGTTGGAAATGAAGTTTTGATATGTTTATTTCTTACATTGCAGAACTTAATTTCATGCTTAAATTCTCGTACATTAGCAATACTTTTACTGACGTGGGTTCTCTTTTTCTTGTTTAGACCTTCAACAGATCAATCTTTTTATGTTCTCCAAATCGAGGGCTTTAACATTATATTTTTAGGATCCAATCTTTTTCCAGTTTAGACCTAAATTAGGAATTATGCAGGTTTAGGATCCCTGTTCTTTATATTTTTAAATAACTTGATATTGGGGAATGATTGCATGCCTTGCCTGCAGAGTAGTTTTGGAAACTTCATCAAAAGCCTTTCGAGCTAGATCCCTGCTTGTTTTGGTAGGGGGTTTTTGGCATTACTCTTGAATTTTTAGGTGCTCTTAAAAAAAATTTGATTTGAAAAAAAATATTAAATTAATATCTTTTAAAGTGGATTTTAATTTTTCTAACCGTGCAGTGTACTCAATCAAAAACATAAAATTGAACTATTTATTGCGACGTACACTTAAATTAAACTTAGGCACCTTCTTTAGCTTGAACTTCGACTTAGGTTTCGACTTCAGCCTCGGCATCGTTCTCTCTTTCTTATTCTTCATCCGAATCCTATTTCTTTTCTTCCTCCTTGGAGCTCCCGAACCGGATGGTTTAGTTGTTCGTGGGGTTTGCCTATATGCATGTATTTTCTTTCTTCTCTAACGGTGAAAATAGAGCCGTTTAAGCCACGAAGTGCCCTCTCTTAAAAACTTTGCCTATCGGGCTAGATAAACTTACCTTTCTCTGCCCTAGGCATGTTCCATTAAAGTAGGTTTAGGGAGGGTAAGCCATGTCAGGACGAGACATCACCATTCCTGGATCAGGCCTATCTTTGCCGCTGTCCAATCCCATGTCTACTTCATCCAATTCCCTGTCTACTGAAAGCAGGAACCATCTAATTGCAATTCCAGAGGCATATCCTTAGGAACTGATTGACCGAGGTCTTACCCTTAGCCTTAAAGAGTGAAGCCCGGTAAAGCCCTATCACGCTCATCTCTTCCTTCCATTTAAACAGGCAATTGCCCACGTTCAAGCTTAAAGTCTAGTCGTATTTATTCCTTATTCTTCTTCCGCCATACCCATGAGTCATTCACTACCTAAAGAGATTGGAGAATAGTAACTAAGATAAGAGTCCTGTTTTACTATATTTATTCAGGACAACTTGGTTAAGAATTATTTTTAAAATGGTGGTGTTTTGGTTTTTTATTTTAAATAAGGAAATTGGTTAGGGTTGATTTGATGGGATTTAGACTGGGTTTGGTCTAGGTTACTGAGAAGTGAGGACTTAAAAAAAATGATTAAATTTAAAAAATGCAGCCTAATTTAATTTCTAAGTTTTGAATTTATCGAAACTCATCAGATAGGTAGACTGGGTATAAGGTATATACCTTTTAAATTCAAAATCAATTGGCACCCGAAAGAGAGAGAATGGGTGTGTTTGTTTTGCACCTGTTTTTGCATTTATAAAAAACAGAGTGTAAAAACTATGTTTTATATTGTAAGATTGAAACGTAGTTTTTGTGTTTTATATCATAAGATTCAAATGCAGTTTTTATGAATTAGTTTTTATATAATTTTTAATTAAATTTTGTAAAACATTGTTTATTTTTCTGTTTTAAAAGTGTTATTAAAAAATTTGATAATTTTTTTATTTTTTATTTCAAATTAATATTTTTTTAATGTTTTTAAATCATTTTAATAAGCTGATATTAAAAATAATTTTTTAAAAATAAAAATGTATTATTTTAATACGTTACTAAATAAAAAAATATTTTTAAAGGCAAATGTAATTACATAATTAATAAAAAATTTATTCATTTTTTTTGTTATACATAAAACTCAATTATAATTTTTATTAAATATATATTTAAATTCAACTAACTACATTTAATCATATTTTTTAAAATTTATTTTTTTCTCAGATCATAAATACAAATGGCTATCTCAAAAACAAAAACACTCCTAATCCTCGTCTGTCTGCCAGACTTCTTAAAAGTTGGAAATTAGAAGACTCCCGCCTAAATTCTGTCAGATTTCCCGCCCTTTATTTTTTCAAGAACTCTTTACAAAAAAAATCCCTTCTCTTTTACAAGTTGTTCCGCAGACACAGAAACATCCATACGCTTGTTTATGATCTTCTAGGTAAGTCTCTTTACTTCATTCGAAAGATTCGTTTCTTTTTCATCGTTTCTTTTCTCTCGCCTTTGAAGATCAATTTGATCTCTCAACAGTCTAGTTTTAGCGTTGTCGATCCACATGTTGCTGTTGTGATTTTCCTCAGAAATTAGTAACTGGGTTGTTTGTTAGTTATCTTTACATCTCAGAACATGGATACATCGAGCCCTTCAATTTTTGTCAACGGGGAGTCATTGCCTCTGTACATTGGGAAAAGGGTTCGAGCTGTGGTTCAAGTCATTCAATGTGATGGTGCAGACACGACTGCAAAATCTACAGATGAACATCAGTTGATTATAAAAGGGTTGCCTGTTATCCCTCCTTTGAAATTTGTTGAAGTGATTGGTATTGCTGATGGCAATCAGTCAGTCCATGCCGAAACATGGACCAACTTCGGCGACGCGTTTGGTACGACTTTCTAGTTACTGGCCAATCTTTCTTGGTCTCTTTGCTGTTAGCGATTGAATCGTAGCCCGGGTTTGCATCATTTAAGGATTAAGAACATGTTTTTTTTTTTTGTTTGTTGCAGATGCTGCTTCGTACAATCAATTGTGCAAACTTGCAAACGGAGAATTCAAAGCTTTATTTCTTTAGGGAGTTGCATTGTGCCTGCTTACTAGTGGGCAAGCAATGGTTTGTTTCTATGGAAAGTTGTAATATTTTAGACCAGGGTTATTGTGGGTTTGTGATTAAGAAAAAAACTATCTTGAGTGTCGTGGCATGTATTAGCTTGAAACTGCATCATTTGCTCAGGTGGTTCATGTTGTCTGTTCTGATAATGCAAACCGACTCTTTTATATAAATCAAGTGAACTTGGCATCAGTCCAGTCTTTTTGTTTGGCTTTTGTGATGATTTATTTTGTTATCAAGATTCAAAGAGGAAAGGGCTGGATTACTGGAATTCCCTTTAGAGATGCTAATTAGAATATTAATTACATGTAGATCACTTTCATATGGCAATTTTTTTATATTCTATTCATTCCAATCAGTACATGAAGTGGTCAAGTATTGGATCCTCCTCCCAACTCAATAAGGTTTTTCGCGTTGAGATGTTCAATTTACAGCGATTATCCCTTAGGGAGTGACATTAATTCAAAAATGTCAGTAATCATCATTCTTGAATTGAATGCCATTGCACTCTGTTAGATGCATCTATGCATTCATGGCAAAAAGAATTTCAGAGTAAACGTCCATTTGCTCCCCGTCTTGGACGGTCCCGAACAGTTTGTGGCCTCACCTGAAAAACAAATCAAGCATAGGCGGGTTTCCTAATGATCTAGAGTAGATGTCCATTGATAATTACACGCATGAAACCCAAAATCAATTCGCATTGGGCACAAGTTGACTGAAATGAAGCTTTCGAAACATGGGGGCTAGAGAACATGTCCAAAAAATAACAGTACAAAGCACAAACACAAACAGTAAAAATGGCAGATAATGAAGTAACCTACTCAATCTACCATGAATGCAGGTTCTTGCATTATTTGATAAGCGCAACGAGGCATGCTCAATACAGGTCTTCCTCCTTGTGTGTGTGGATCACAGAGTCCGAAGTTGGATATGAGATGCATGTAAGGACGTATCCCTTCTCCATCTGCTTTTCATCGAGGAATGAACCATCTGATTGGTCCACGGATCCTGAAACCATCATACCAGCACAAGTAGAACAGGCTCCGGCCCTGCACGAGTATGGGAGCTCCACTCCTGCATTTTCAGCTGAATCAAGGATGTAAGTATCATCAGGGGCGTCAAATTCGTGCTCGCATCCATCTGGCATGATTAGTTTCACTTTGTAAACTGCCATTGCAGATACTTTGAAGGACGACGACTTCAGGCCAAATGCTTTAGATACGCTCATTGCAGAACCCAAAGCACCCGGGCTCTTGATCAAGGCACATGTTCTGCTTGGGCTTGCAACTTTACTTGGGGGTGCGCTTCTGATCATGCATGTTGTGGGAAGTCTCGCGGTTGACATGTTTCCACCTGCACTAGGGCAATTAAGAACATTCAGTGGATACTCAGTTACTGTCAAGCATAGCTTTCTTTCCTTCGCAGGTTCAAATACGTAATACTTGCAGGAAATAGACACAATACTTGCCAAGGTAAACGAGAGAATCCAATGTGATTCTATCATTGATTCATACTTGCCAAGGTAAACGAGAGAATCCAACGTGATTCTATCATTGATTCATGAGTAAAAAAATCTCCGAACAGTAAAAGGTGCAGTCAGATAAATGATCTATAGCTGCTACACCGTAAAAGGGCAGTATAAGGGAATGTCCCAAAGAAAATCTTTTTGATGAAGGTGATACTATCATCATTTCTAGATCACGGAGAAAATAGTTTCAGGGGGTAGGGAGAATTATATGATAAACAATCATTTCTAATCAATAGGTCTACTCAGGAAGACACGTACTCGAGCAAATAAAAGACCCTTGAGCTTAAAGTGAAAATAATTCCCTTCAAACCATCAAGCCAGGCAAAATCGATGGTTTTTTTTCCTTTTAAAGGACTCGTGCTCTTCACAAGCTGTATTACAGACAATTGATTCTTGGCCATCAGAATAATTCCACAATATTTTAGCTGTGACCACAAATTACAGGCAATTCAGAAAATCTTTTTCTACAATCGATGATAACAAGATTTCATCCACTTCAAAGACAGCAGATTTTTTCATCCACAACACAAACCCCAGAACCACCCCAGTAGATTTGCTCATACTAGGCTGACTTAAAACAGATTATTACCATGTTTTTCACTGCATTTTTCGATTCGAAAAAAGAAAAAATAAAGTTCCCTGGATCCAAGCTACAGAATTTTATCAAACAACAACAGTAAAAAAGGAAACGAAGAAACTTCTATATAGCATATCAAGATCAAAAGGGAACATATAAAAAGCTGACAATAACAGATCAGAGATACAAAAAAAACAAAAACAAAAACAAAACAGGATAAATACACCTCGTAAAGAAGAGCAAAAGGCAAGAGATCTTACAAGGAAAACTTGACCGATGAGACCTAGAAAGAAGTTTAAGGGCGGAAAGTTCAAGGGGATCAGAAAAGAGGAGGGTGCCCTACCAAAGTCAGACTCAGGATGGCGTGTGTAAAAACACGTGAGGTGTTTTATAGTAAGTTGGGATTTGTGTGAGGGTGAGAGAGTGACTCTTGGGAGACATTATAATTAGATAGATTGCATTTTACAAGTACAGTGAATATGGGTAGGATTCTCTCATGGCCTCTGGAATCTCGCAAGATAGTAAAAACAGAAACGTAGATTAGGTAAGGATAGGTCCCTATCATGGATCTACCCTCTCTCTCTTTTTTCCTTTTCTTGATCTTGATGTGCCTAAAAATGAAAAACCATTTTTTTTCTCTTTAATTTCCTTCCATCTTTTTTTTATAGATATGCACGAAGGTAAGAGTAAAACAATGCAGACTTGTTCCCCTCTCTCTCTTGTGCCCTTCCGGCTCCAGACGAAGGGCCAGAACAACCAGTGTTAGGCTCATCTATATTGAATATTTTAGCCCAACCTTCCTTGCTAGTCTTGCGTCTCTGCACACTGCCTATTTAAAAGCCGGATTATTGGATTCTCGTTTAATTTTTTCTTTTTTACCATAAAGTATAAATCTAAAAATCGTACTTTTTTTATTATACATAAATACATTGTTTATCTCTTCGCATATTATTGCAGATGAACCGTGTAAAAAAAAATTTAATTTGATCTTTATATTTTTTTTTAATAATTTAGTTCTTATTAAATATCAATTGATTTTGATTTTTTATAAAATAATGGGGTTGAAAAATGAGGAATCAAAATAAAAAAAATATCAAACATGAATAACGTGCTATAAGTTTTATAAAAGATACACTTTGATATTTGAAGTTAAAAATTAACGCACATTATATAATTTTGACGACCCAATGTTTTTTCAAAATAATTCTAGAACAAAAGTTTGTTTTTTTTGTTATTTTAGAGTTTTTGGTCGAGAAAAAAGAAAGGGGTTGCCAGATTTTGGAGGATAGAAAACTAAAAAATGTCATTAACAATGATTTAAACCACAAAAACGGTTGATATTTGTATACAATTTTGGTGCCTCAATGTTTTCTCAAATTAATTCTAGAACAAAAATATTTTTTTTTTGTTATTTTAGAGTATCTGGTTGACAAAGAAGAAAAGAGTTGCCGGATTTCAAGGGTAGAAAAGTGAAAGATGTCATTAATAATGATTTAAGCCACCAAAACGGTCGATATTTATATTAAAAAATTTCCATTTGGCAAGATGATTTAATATTAAGTGTTTTCTTACATTTAAAAATTATGAAAAAACATACATAACCTCGGGTTTTTTTTTAAAAAAAAAGAAGCTATATATAAGTTTGTTACGGTTCCTAAGGTGTTTCAGGTCAAAAAAATTTTAAAAAAAAGATTTTTAGGTAAAAAAACATTAAGCCCTAATTTTCTAGCCTCTGTGGTGGTTTAAATCTGAACAAAATCAGACAATGCATTGTCTCATTTTTTTATATAAAAAAGTAAGGCTCACCCCATATGTAAAAAAAAAAATAAGGGTTTAGTTTGTACAGGCTTGGCAAATGGGCTGACGGGCAATCTTGCTTGCGAGGCCCGATTTCATCTATGCTTTTCTTTTCTTTTCTTTTTATTTCTTTTGATTAATGTTTTTTATTTTTAAAATTAATAGTTATTCTCTTTTTTATTTTCTTTGTACAATCGTTTATTTTTTATGCATTTAATTTTTTAAAAGATTTTTTTTATTTATATATATATATATCACAAGTGAACTTTATTTTTTAAAATAAAAAAATTAGATAATATTTATAATATGTACAACCTTGCATTAAATTTTTTTCCTTTTATTTCATTACATTAATTTAATATTTTGTGCCTATTTCTATTATAATTTGATTGGATAGAAAAAATTACTTTTTAAAAAATATATAGCATGCACAACTGAGTAGATATCTTATTTTGTAAAATTAAATTTCTTGATTTATATATGTTTCTTGATTTTTTTAATATTTTATTGAGTTGTCATTTATTTATTTATTTGTTTATCAGTACACGTAATTCTCAATTTATTTTATTACATGTAGGTATAAATTTTTTTATTCTCACTTAATTTTTTTTAACAATAGAAAAAAATGTTGGAAAAGTTGATGGGGCAACATTTTTTGTTTTAAAAAAATATATATCTAACTCATGATAAAACACAAGTTAAATATCTAGTTATTATGTAGAAGTCATCCTTGTCCAATCCAAATTGCTTAGAATCTCATTGGTCTAAAGAGTATCCAGATCAAAGATATCCAGCTTAATTTTAGAATTCTCAGGAAGCGTTACTATCATAAAATAAAAAGGATAAAGATAATAAAGATAAAAATATGTTCTTGTTAAAGAGACATAGAAATAAAAATAAATTTATTTTTAAGATAACTTGTAATTTTTTGTACTTTCAACAGAAGAGGTGAAGAAGGGACGTGACTCAAAATACAATGTATTTTTTAATTTTTCATTCATAAAATATTTCTGTAAGAAAAATTTAATTCCAAAATTTTCCAACTAATACATGTAAAAATAATAATAATTATTATCATAATTTTAAAATTTAACTCGAAAGTTGGCCTAAAACAACACCTGGATTAGTGCTCGAGGCCTAAGCCACTAGTCAGTGTAATTCAAGTTGACGCGAGAATAAAAAATATTATTATTATAGTTTTAAAATCTAAATTTAAGTTAATATGAGGTACGCCTCAGGTTATGAGTTCGGTTGACCATTAACCAGGTCAACATAAAAACAAGTGGTTATTGTCATAATTTTTAAATCTGATTTTAGGGTCGATCCAAGGAAAGGTTCGGGTCGCATGCTAGGAGGATGAATCCGAGTTAACCCAAGTTAACATAAATAAAAGTGATTATTATTATAGTTTTTAAACTTGACTTGGAGATCAACTCGAGGTAAGACCCCGATCATGAATCAATGTAAAAATAAAAGTTATTATTACTGTAATTTTAAAATCCAATTTAGAGATCAACAGAAATAGGACCCAAATTACATGTTGAGATGGTCAACATGGGTTGATTCAGGCCAACTTATAGATAGAAATAATTATTATTATAAATTTTAAATATAATTTGAGAGTTAACCCAATGCAAGATTCAAGTCATGAAGAATCAATTAGTTTGACTATATATATATATATATATATATATATATTTTAAATTCAATAGATTTTTTACTTATATTTTATCTTGAATTAACATGAGTTTTTGACCGAATTGAGTTAGTTATGCTAATTATTTAATTATTGTTTTGTAAACTCAAACCAATTCAAGACTAAATTATTCTACAAAATCAATCTAATTTTTATAATTAAAATTATTATAATATTATTAATTTTAAACACTCGATAAAAACCGAAGTAAAAAATATAATAATAATAATAATACCTTATAAATGAATTAATATTATAGTCTAATTATATTTTCAAAAATTTATAATTTTTTTAATTTATAATTATAAATCTAAAAATCGTACTTTTTTTATAATACATAAATACATTGTTTATCTCTTCACATATTATTCCAGATGGACCGTGCAAAAGTTTTTTTAATTTGATTTTTTAAATTTTTTTAACAATTTAGTTTTTTATTAAATATCAATTAATTTTGATTTCTTATAAAATAGTGGGGTTGAAAGATGAGGAATCAAAATAAAAAAGATATCAAACATGAATGACGTGCTATAAATTTTATAAAAGATACATTTTAATATTTGAAGTTAAAAATTAACACATGTTATATAATTTTGACAATTCAATGTTTTTTCAAAATAATTCTAGAACAAAAGTTTGTTTTTTTTTTTTGTTATTTTAGAGTTTTTGGTTGAGAAAAAAGAAAGGGGTTGCCAGATTACAAGGATAAAAAAATGAAAGATGTCATTAACAATGATTTAAACCACATAATTTTGGTGCCCCAATGTTTTCTCAAGTTAATTCTATAACAAAAATTTGTTTTTTTTTGTTATTTTAGAGTCTCTAGTTGACAAAGAAGAAAGGAGTTGCCAGATTTCAATGGTAGAAAAATGAAAGATGTCATTAATAATGATTTAAGCCACAAAAACGGTCGATATTTATATTAAAAATTTTCCATTTGACAAGATGATTTAATATTAAGTGTTTTCTTACATTTTAAAATTATGAAAAAACATATATAACCTCGGGTTGTTTTTTTTTTAAAAAAAAAAAAGCTATATATAAGTTTGTTATGGTTCCTAAGGTGTTTCAGGTCAAAAAAATTAAAAAAAAAAGATTTTTAGGTAAAAAAACATTAAACCCTAATTTTCTAGCCACTATGGTGGTTTAAATCTGGTCAAAATTAGACAACACATCATCTCATTTTTTTATATAAAAAAAATAAGGCTCACCCCATATATATATAAAAAAAAACAAGGGTCTAGTTTGTAGAGGCTTGACGGGCAATCTTGCTTGCTAGGCCTGATTCCATCTGCGCTTTTCTTTTCTTTTTATTTCTTTTGATTAATACTTTTTATTTTTAAAATTAATAGTTATTCTCTTTTTTATTTTATCTGTACAATCGTTTATTTTTTTATGCATTTAATTTTTTAAGAGATTTTTTTTATTCATATATATATATATATATATATATCACAAATGAACTTTATTTTTTAAAATAAAAAAATTAGATAATATTTATAATATGTACAACTTTGCATTAAATTTTTTTCCTTTTATTTTATCACATTAATTTAATATTTTGTGCCTATTTCTATTATAATTTGATTGGATAGAAAAAATTACTTTAAAAAAATATATATAACATGCACAACTGAGTAAATATCTTATTTTGTAATATTAAATATATTAATTTATATATGTTTCTTGATTTTTTTTAATTTTTTTTTTGAGTTGTCAGTTATTTATTTTTTTGTTTATCAGCACACGTAATTCTCAATTTATTTTATTATATGTATGCATAAATTTTTTTATTCTCACTTAAATTTTTTTAACAGTAGAAAAAAATGTTGAAAAAGTTGATGGGGCAAAATTTTTTGTTAAAAAAAATATATATCTCACTCATGATAAAACACAAGTCAAATACCTAGTTATTATGTAGAAGTTATCCGTGTCCAGCCCAAATTGCTTAGAATCTCATTGGTCTAAAGAGTATCCAG